TTCAAAGACTTTAGGCAAAAGTAATTAAGATGCCGCAAGAAATATAATTCTCGCTCAGTTTATTTGAGAGAAAAATGTTTCTTCTTTCTATTGAGCACTTGTTTAATTTGACTCACTGTCACATTCAATTGTAAATTGTAAAAAAGAATTTAGCAAAGCAACAAACTGATGAGTATGATGTTTAATTTTAAATTTCTGCTATTAACAAAGAATTAAAGGTGTGAAAAACGGATCCCGCCCCATGTTATATAATTTTACTCCGTGTACTATTATGTAACTGTAGGAGACTAAACCAAACCTTTCAGTCAAGTACGCGATGCATATTTTGCCTTGTTTTTTTCTCAAAGAAATATTTAAATATAGGTCCATAGCATTTTCCTGGCTATTAGTACGCTGTAAAGGTGTGAAAAAACGGATCCCGCCCCATGTTATATAATTTTATTCCGTGTAGTATTATGTAACTGAAATATTTAAATATAGCTTCGTAGCATTTTCCTGGCTATTAGAACGAAAATGCAACGGAAAAGTTAATAATTATGTTTTTAAAAAACTTAAATAAAAATTGTTATTCTTTTCTATTAAAAAATTATTTTTAGTTTGTTCAGTTGTTCTTGCCTCAAAAATCGAGATCATCTGTCTTTACTCAAACCTCTGACAAACAAACGCCCTCACGTTTCCATTTGACAATATGTTCTGTTCGGGTAGGTTTTAAAGGCGAATGTTTTCCTTCCTTTTTGAAATGACAGAAACAAAAGACAACGGAACAGAAGCTAAACTGTGGGGAGCCCTGACCAGAAATAAAAAAAAAATTAATAACTACACAAAACCAACTTTCAATTAAGGTTAAAATGGTGCTCTGTACTCGCCTCACGTACGCGCGGCAGTCATGTCGACATTGACAATTCACAATGGTTGTGATTCCCTTGTACTCCTCAAACTTCTAAGATTCTTGCCACGGCATTTTCTTGCGGTTAAAACTTCAAACCTTCATTATCGTGGTTGGTCTTGACGAGGCGGAGATCCAAAAAATGGCTGTGTGATAATAAAAAAATTAAGAACGATCGTTGAAATGAGATGTGTAGATATTGAGTTTTCTACTTATGTTCTAAGCCCAGGTAATAGTTTCTAAACAGTGCGTTCAAGCTGAAATCATGATTGTAAGCGATCAAAATAAAATCTGAGAAGTGTCCACAACTGGAGCTTCATCAAGCTTGACAATTATGTAATCCGATGCTACCGAAAAGTAATAATCACAAAATTCGGGAATTTTAGCGAGTTTAGGCCAATGAAAAAACAAGCAAATCTCGGAGGCAACTTTCAAGAATTCGAATACACTGTTTCTGAATATATTTCGCCAACCCATAATTTTCACTTCAACGATGCATGTGTCATCCAACAGTCATCTTCCTATTTTAGTTCAGACAATATTTCGGTCGACTCTTTCGTTGATAACTAACCTTTCAACCTCAGGAATGAAATTGGTATTTCTTTGGAATAGTAAGAATTCCCTACCACTGTCAACACCTTCAACAAGTTAAGTTCGCTGCTTCTTATTACGTAATTTCATAACAATGGACTGAATTTATACTGCAAAGTTACATAACAGTTGATGACTTTTTAGGGACTCGGGAGGGAAACCCATTAAGATCAAGTCAGATACATGTCTGTACACAGCAGTCGAAGCCAACGTAATTACCTGTAATTGTTTTTATATCGACAATTCAGCAATTTCCCTCCTTCAACCATCAGGTACATCATAGTGTCTTCCCTAATTATTCCTCCACAAGGAGTCATTTTCTCCGAGGTTGGTTCCCAGCCATGCGTCCTGTTTTGCATGACAGGCCCGTCGATAGGAAAGTTGCCTCTTTGAAAATTGGTTTTGTGCGCAAGAGTGTTGCCTCTGAGTAAAAAGCATTTCAGAACGCAAAATGAGTGAAACATAAATGAGCAGCTGTGTAAGAAAATTTTGATTCCACCCCCAGGCGGCCCAAGCTGTGATATGATCATCTTGCGCAATAACAGTCATGGCGGAATTATAAGAGTTTGTGAATATGTACAACCGCTCTAAGGAATGAACAAATTCGTCAATTTCTCAATAAAAATACCTCACCTTACTTCCACAGCGTATTGCTTGTTATCTGACCGCTTACTTTGATGAAAAAAACCCATTTTGGCGAGTTGTCCATTTCGGGGTTTTCTACGTACATATGAACAGCCCTTACGTACATAAAAAAGGGAGACGAGACGAATGACAATCCTTGTAATTATTTTTCGAACCGCTACCTTTGTGGGTGATATTCAACGTTTCAATGAATTGGCAAATTAAGGCTGAAATCGTTTATAAGGCGGAGTTTTGCGATTACATGGTGTAGTGTAACGATAAGGTTTGAAAACTTGATTGATTGAAAAAAGAGTAATCACCGAGTTGCGATTCGCTTACTTGCTTTGAATGAGACATCTTGAGATCCACTTTACAACCGTAGACGTGACTCTTGCCTAAGCGGAAAGAGCATTTACGCGGCTATGAAATGCAATGTCCTGAGACTGCAAATGACCCACTTTGACACTTTCCTGAATTCTGTTTTGTCTTGTGCTATCTAATGCTCGACTTGAAGAAACCAAAACCACTTAAATGCATCACTACGTGCGCCAGTTTGGAGGATTCCCCCTAAAAAAATTTACCCATTTCCGCTCCGCATTATGTAACCATACGGCAAATTATACAACTACGTGATGTATCTGTCGAAGCTGGAGTTGAACAAGTCTGCTACGTGAATAATGTTTTGATAAAAACGCCTTATCATAGTGCAAAATAAAGGATTTTTGTCTGTACAAGTATAATACAGGTATGTATAATAGACAATTTAAAAAAGGTACGTGACGGATTTTCGTTAATTGTACCGCTGCAATCCAGGTTGTAAAAAAAGATATATTAGGATTACTTTAAAAAAGGTTTTTAATCCTAAAATTTTTTATAACGAATGAGTACTTTCTGACATATGTGAGTAAGGTGTTAAAAATTTATTGGACTGATCTTTTACAAGTATGCACCAAAACAGTGAAGCAAAACAGTAAAGCAAAGTAAATATGGCGGGTAGTAATTTGAGTGAAAGCAGTTCTATTTCGGGGTCTGATTATTCGGATTTTGAGGCCTCGATGGAGGGTAAAGGGGCTTATGAACCTGTTGGTGAAATCAGGTCCTCGCGATTTGAACCGCCTGGACGAACGTAAAATAGAGCGCGAGACTCAGAGGAGGATCATGGGCCCTTGCGCCGCGGCCGCTTCAATAGTACATTCAATTAAGTACAATACTTCAATTAGTACAAGGTGTTAGCCTGGAGATTGCCAATCAATGTGGAGGGAGAAAGAAAAGAAGTAGATGTGGTCAAAAATGAAAAAATGGAGGATGTTACAGCGGAACAGTTGCAAGCAGAAGCCAGATGTATTGTCCAGCATCCAGCGTTAGGGGAAACTGGTGAAGGCTGACTCCGTCTGCATTTTTTTGGTACAAAAAATCCCTATACAGCGCTTCCCTGGTTTTCGTTTTCTTCATTTTACATCCTGTTGTTTTCTGTCCATATTGTAAATGTCAACACGGCTAAGAGTGGTACAGGTTTGGATAACTTGAGCGTAAACATATATATGTTTTAAAGTTCAGGTCGTAAATTGAGAAACATTACGTGCTTGTTATTTCCGTAGCACGAGTTTGTGGCTGACTCGGTTCCTTTTTATTACCAAAGTACTGCATTTTAACCAGTAGTGTCTCAGGCTTGTTTTAGTTACGATAGATGAGCGTGAGTAATTTACCGTTCACTCAGCTGATAGTTGTACATTTTTGAAACGAGTAACCTTTCATTTAACTTAGGCACACGAATGTGCTATATATATTAATGCTGCTCAATGCTAGTTGTAATCATTCTTGGAGCACTCTCAGCTAGAGACGAAACGTGACGAAGGAAATAAAAAAAAAGTTACAGCAGCAAGAAGTCTTCCTTTGTGCTGTTCACCAGTCTCCGTAAAAAAAAATAAAAAATAAAAAAGTATAATTCTTGTACATTTCCGGTACGTGAAAGAAGAGTTTCGTTCACGAAACCAGATGGTGACCTCCCATACTTCGCGACAATACTTAGCGCTTAGTCACGCTCACTCCAGAACCGATGGGTCTGAGGTCACAGTGATATACACCGGACAAAATCTAAAGTCCAATACTTTCCAGCATGGACTAAACATATCTCTATAAGTATATGACTCGATAATGGTTAGGAAGAACAAATTATGGGAATATATATTTTTTTACAGCTGTTTGGAATGGCGTGCAAATAACCTGTGACTCTGAATACAGAGAACCGATCCGTCGCCTTTCAATTATTCAACCTTTGTTATTTAATTTCTCACTTCGTCGTTCATAGTCTCTAAATAGTGGCCTATATCAGAATGGAAAAAAAATTTTTTTCGCTTGTAAATTTCGGCAGCAGCCAAACAGGGAGGGCGAAATTGATACGTTCAGGTCTTAAAATGACGCCTTTCACTACCTTACACACGTGTGACGTATCACATTAAGTGACCTGGATTGAAACGTTTTCAAAATGGCCTTTAAGGATAGCAATCAATCAATCTTCATTGTACTCAGCAGGTAATTTAGTGTTAAAAACTGAGTTGAAAACGTAAATTGGCCACCGTAAAGAATAAAAAAAGCTGACGTTTCGAGCGTCAGCCCCTCGTCAGAACGATTCTTTGTACTCAATCTTGATCAAAAAGATCATTCCAGACACTTCTTGTATCATAAATGTATCTTTTATTAACTTGTGTGAAGAAAGTATCAAAGACACATGGCAGACGTCTATTGTTATTTCCGTAGCACGAGTTTGTAAGGAGTCAAACATAAGGAGTCAAACATTATATTAGGATCAGGATTAGCATGTAATACACCTTTCTCCGTTCGTTTTCCTTTTACTCGGAAGACGATGGCTCGTTGATATATCCTCTTTTTTCAGGTCAACTCACATCTTTCGACCGAACTCCACAACAATTTCGTTCGTATCTTCCCGCGTGTCACTAGAAATCTTTAGAATACCCCGGATTTCCATGCAGTCTCGTCTCGAGTATTGTTCAAGTTCGTGAAATGATTCCTTTAAAGCTTTTAGCTGGTTTGTAGTATCCAGGAGCTTACCCCTCAGACTCTTGATCTCATTAACCAGTTCTGTCATTCCTTTTTCGTAAGGTGAGATTTTTGTTAGTAGTTGGTAATAATTAGAGTTCGCAGTGGCGATAGACTTCTTCACTTCATCAACCGATCTGCGAAGAGGCTCTAAAGCCTCCTCCAACAAATTCTTGAATTCTTCTGTCGTTACACCTCCCATAATGGTACGTAGATAAATTAGGACAACATATAACGCGAAAAAATAAGAAAAAAGAGGAAAATGCAGCTTTGATAAGATAAATTCACTGTAAATTTAACGAAGCTCAAAAATTACCGTCATCTTTCTCGATGACCGCAAGGGTAGTGTGTAACACCAAAATAATACAAGATAAATAACAGGAAATAAACTGAAATGTGTCTTCGTGGATTTGTAGACACTCAGGGTCAATTGTTCGTTCGAGGCTGGTTGCTTATTTGAGCATTATGTGTGAAAAAGAGTTTTTAATTTCTCGATGAGAGCCGGCCGTCGATTAAGTGTCGATTAAGTGTCATTGGTTTTACACAATATGTCGTTTATTTGCGCATTTAGGATTCTTTAACCTAAGAGGAATGTACTGGGACCAAAAAGGGGAGAATTTTGGCGTTAGTTACCCTTTAGGCAACTCGCGCCGGATTTGCGGGCAAAGATATTGATATATTAAGCAGGAAACAAGATGTGTTAACAGCGAAGAAACTTCCTTTGTAACTGACTTTCGACTTCAAAATGATCAGCACGACAAACTTCATGTTTGGGGAAATTGTTGGAGAATTTAACCAATGTCACTTGGAGAAAATTCAACTCAAATTAAGCAAGATTAACTCTAGTGGGTATCTTCCTTTGTTGTGTTTTAGCTAAAGAACGAAAACCGTTTTGTTAATTTTAACTACAGAAAACAACAGTCCGACCCTTGTCTATTGTATATGGTAACTTTTAGTGATCTCAAAGGTAGAAAAGAATATAAATTATGCGTGAAAACCCAACGACGCTGCGCGCGTCATAAACAGGTTAAAACTTTACGGAGGCACCTTAAAAGTTACATAACCTTATGCAATATTACCTCATGCAATATTATGGAAAAATGGAAAAATTGACCCGCGACAGTTTGCGCGTTACATAACCTTATGCAATATTACCTTATGCAATATTATAGAAAAATGGAAAAATGCACCCGCGATAAACAAAAGAAGCTATGAATTCGCGCCATTTGGTGGTTTACAATTTTATTTTCTTTCGTGACAGGCGAAAAATTTGCTTGATACAAATTATGCATGAAAACACAACGCGGCTGCATTACATAACCTTATGCAATATTATAGAACAATGGAAAAATCGACCCGCGGCAGTTTGCGCCCCAGATAATTTAATTAGGAATGATACTTACCTTTTAACAATAATGACAAACAATCTTTTCGTGATTGGCACCATAGAAATGCTACGCAGGAACTCTATCAATCTGCTCAATTCGACCGTCTCTGACATTCACAATTTTTCTGTGGATCACAATATGAGACTAAACCCAATTAAATGTCAAGAGATGTTAATTAACTTTATGTCATATCCTAACGTTACTCTAAGACCATTAGTTATAGACAACAACGGTATAGAACGTGTATCGACTTACAAGATACTAGGAGTATTTATCGATAGCGACCTTAAGTGGAATAGTAATGTTGAGTACTTATATAAAAAAGCTTGCAAGTTTTTAAGTTTTCATTGTATTATAACTCGTTAATTTAGTAAGTTACTACAAGAGAGTTTAATAAACTGTTATTATCATTATGATATTACCTATACAATATTACATTATGCAACGTAGAATTACGTAACATTCGGCGGCATCTGGCAAAGTTTGTAAGGAATCGTCTACCCTAAATAAGGGGTTCGCTTGAGATCATTTTAATAAGTTTTAAAAATATCTGACAGTGGTAACTCGCCGGAAACGCTTAAAAATGAGGTAAAACGCACGCGGGCGTTGAAGGCTTTCTTAGTTCGTTTCTTTCCTTTTCTAACTCTTTGTTTGAATTTACTGTTAAAACTGTCAACGACAGAGAACAAATCTAAGAAAGAAAAGGGAACCCTTCCTCAAAAGCGTGTTAAGTGCACGACAGTTGCTTATGTCACATCTGATTATCTCTCTTAGGCAGATAATTATCGAAATATTTCGATACCTAGGAGCAACTTAAGTCTATAATTACATAACTGATTAGCCTTGAAACTTACTCTGCCAGTCTTGCAGGCCAGAACGGTGGAATTGCACGGTTCCATCGAGTTCCATTTCGGAAAAAGAAAAAAAAACAGTTTGTAATACTTCTTTAATTACATTATTAACTGATGTTAGGTATATTTAGAGTCTGTTTTATGCCATATTGAACCTTCGTGCTTTGTTAGGTCGTTATGAAAACAGGTCACGTAAAACGTTGTTATTTTCGGCAAAAATAATTCCTAAGGCCAAAATGGGCGGACAGTCAAGCTTAAAAGATTACACGAATCGTCGGAAAAGGGTATAAATCTGTGTACACGTTATCCGGCGCGTCAGACATATAATTGATCATTGTCTTTTTGGGTTGAGTGGCATTATATAAATTTGGCAAACCAGAGAGGCTCACCATCAATTTGATCCAACTGCAGGACACACCTCTTAGGCGATAACAGTGCTCGTTGCTCGACTTTGCGAAGCAGATTTTAAGATGTCTCATTCAAAATATGTAAGTGAATTGTAGTTTACATGGCTAATAGAATAGGCGGGTTAAGTGCCTCTCCAGAAAATCTTTTTCTCCTGACGGTTTTTGATAATTTTCTTCCATATTCAGGTTTTAGCTGATACCATGAAGATGACATGGCTTATGGAGGGCTGTGTCAATGGTCATGCGTTCACCATCGAAGGAGAAGGCACCGGCAAACCTTACGAGTACGTTTATGTGAAATAACGATCAACCTGTAAATTGTCCTTTTGCGTGGATGCATTGCTGGTCTAACCAAAGCAAATTTGGTTATTTCAGTTATGTTTCCTTTGGCTGTTTGTGTCATCTACGTATGGCTGTCTTGGAAAAAGGGGTTTATAAATCTAAGCTTTATATAGTAACTCGTCCAGAAGTCATTGTGCACAAGTCACTTATGTGATGAAAACGCACCAAAATAGTCATATGCTAGTGATTTCGTTAATGAAAGACCACAATATCGAAAATCCTCTCTATCTGAATATTTCAGAGGCAAACAAACGGGGACATTCCGTGTTACAAAGGGCGGACCCCTTCCATTTGCCGTAGACATAGTGGCACCGACTTTGAAGTATGGATTCAAATGTTTCATGAAGTATCCTGCTGATATTCCTGACTATTTCAAGCAAGCATTTCCCGAAGGTCTGACATACGACAGGAAATTAACATTTGAAGATGGAGGGAGTGCCACGGCCACCGTGGAAATGAGGTGAGTAATTACTTACTATTTAACTGTTAATCAGCTTTTTTAACTTGCAGATTGAACAAAGATCTTTGAGTTACATCTGTGAATGATTGAAAACAAAAATCATTTAAATTTTCTTGCATAATCTGCAACACTACACAAAGATTTGGGCTCGATGTGAAAAAGTGAAAATTCACGACGGATTTCCATGATGAATATCATCATGGAAGCCTCAAAAGTGCAGTAATACAGCGACAACCGCTTGCTTTTCAAAAATGATTAGGCAAAATTAAAAATTGACCTAATTTTTTTACATTCGTCACTTTCTTCCTTTCAGGCTAATTTTTCTTTTAACATAGAAATCTAACCTGTCGACTTAGAGGTTTTTTTTCCATTAAAATCTTTTTACCTCGTAAGGTGGACTCAAAATGTATGTTTTATTCATTTTGCGTTCTGAAATGCTTTCTACTTTGACAGCCTCAAAGGCAACACTCTTGTGCACAAGACCAATTTCCAAGGAGGCAACTTTCCCATCGACGGGCCTGTCATGCAAAAGAAGACGCTTGGCTGGGAACCAACCTCGGAGAAAATGACTCCTTGTAATGGAACAATCAAGGGAGACACTATCATGTACCTTTTGGTCGAAGGAGGGAAAATGCTGAAATGTCGATATGAAAACAATTACAGGTAATTACGTTGGTTTCGACTGCTATGTACAGACATGTATCTGACTTGATCTTAACGGGTTTCTCTCCCGAGTTCCCAAAAAGTCACCAACTGTTATGTAACTTTGCAGTATAAATTCAGTCCATTGTTATGAAATTACGTAATAAGAAGCGGCGAACATAACTTATATATTCAGAAGTAGTGCACCCGACAGTTTAGAGTCACCTCCGAGGTTTGCACGTTTCTTCATTATTCAAATTCGCTTAAATTTCCGAATTTTGTGATCATAACTCTTCAACCGCATCGGATTACAAAACTGCAAAGCTGGATAAAGGTCTATTTGTAGACATTTCTCTGAAATTATTCTGATCGCTAACGATCATAATTACAACTCGAACGCAATGTTCGCAAACTGCCTTCATCTTTGTGGTTACCAGGGCGTCGAAGTAGATGACTCAATATCTATAATTCCTATTTCAGCGAGAAATCATGGGTCATTCTTGATTTTTTTTCCTCCAGGGCCAAGAAGGTGATACACGAGATGCCACCGAGCCATTTTGTGGATCTCCGCCTTGTGAAAACCAACCTTGATAAGGAAGGTTTGAAGTTTCAACTGGAAGAACATGCAGTGGCAAGAATCCTCGAGGTTTGAGGATTACTGGGGAGTCACTATCATTGTGAGTCTCGACATTGTTTGTACAACAACATGAGATGAATAAAGAAGAGCGTTTTCAACCTCAAATGTACCTCACTCTTACATCTTTTTAAACTTTCGACTGATTATGAGGAGTTATGAAAGAAAACGAACCAAATCCCTGCTGTTATTATTCGTTGCTTGCAGAAAGTGCGTAAAGTTCGCTTTACAGTTGTCAAGGCCCAAATTTTTCCTACACCGACCTATGATGATTACATAATTTTGATTTCAACTTTATAAATCATTCAGATCTGGAAGATATGAGGATTGGTGCCAAAGACAAAAACCTCGAGTATAAAATAGAGGATATTACATGGCTGCGCAGAGATGAGAAATTTGACTTCCAGTCTTTAAGAGCGCTTGTCTGTAAAAATCAGACAAATTCTAAATTTCGCGGCAAGGGTGAAAAATTCGATTTCTTTCTTATTTTAATATTAGATAGGCTAGACTATAACTAAAATCACTGGATACTTTTTTTGGCAAAATATCTTTTTATTTCAGAGTAAAAATGCAAATAACAAAATTCCGTTAAAATCGTCATTTTTAGCAGCAAATTATTGCACAAGTTTGAGGGCTTCGTGTTCAAAAACGAATCACTATCTCGTCTTTTTAACACTCAAATCGTCTTTTTTAACCTCATAAGACCTCACAAAACGATTTTTGTATACACTGCGTTCCTCTTTGCGTGTAAAATAATTTAAATTCGAAAGCATACATTTCTCTTCAGTAAACGTACTTTGTGAGTAAAGTTAATTTTCAGCATGTGCTAAACCTTCAAATGGATTAAGCTTTTGGCGGTAGAATTGCGAAAGGATGTTCTCAATATTACTGTAAAAATTTCTTTGGGCAAATGATTGAGCGCGATACAAAAGCTTTTCAAAGTCCGTTAAAATGCAGTTATTTGACCTTTCGCGGTCAACATTCCAGTCGTGAGTCACTCACATATTTTAATATGTTTCAATCCATATGAGGCCGGAAAATGTACATGGGTACACATATCCAAATGCTCTAACCTCATTTGCCGTAGAAGAAACATCCAAAGACCATTTTACTGTGGTTATCTAGTCGCTCGTCGTATTTATAACGTCAGATGAAACTGGCTGTCAATCTGCGAACTGTCACCAACCTTCGTTGCAAAACGTTTGACATCTTTCTGCACTGTGGCATCTTATCCAGCGGGTCAGTTGACTGTGAGTGTTGTTCGGTTTGTGGTGCAGCAGATCTGATCGATGCTTTTAAAAGTGACTCTTCACATGTTGCAATCAACGTAGTATGCAAATCATACAATGAAAAGTTATTTTTTAGGCGGTAGGGGAGGGGGAGAGTAAAAAGACGTCACTCTGCTGCTCAAATTTTTTGTTCTTGTGAACATCGAAATCTCTTACATGTAAGTCGCGGAGATAGGGGCTTTTGGCCAATACTCATTAAAAAGCTAAATTTATTACCTGCTAAAAGTAGTAAGCCTAAGTAAACAAAACCTGGTTTATGGTAACTACACGATGCCTATTGTTTGCTTACAGGCGGGGCTTCGGACTTTGTTTTTCACGAATGCACTAACTATGGAAGGTTGTTGTTCGTTCAAGTCGCTTATCGGCGGAGTTTGTTGTTACAACACTAGAGATCGAAAGCGTGCAACGGAAATTGTTCCATTACTTTCATGCACCTAGAATATCGCAAGTCATAAGTCGGCTTTCAAATTTACCGGTCCTGAAGATGAGATCGACCTAATTTTGTGCTGAGCACTCATATGTCGGCCCCTCTGTAGTTTAAGGAGTTTAAACGGTAGTTGGGTCTGTCAACAGTGGTTAATAGTACCACTCCCTTTTGCAAGCCCCATCCATTGGCCACGGAACAGCACCCCTGCCTCACATAAGCCACACATCCCCACCACTGCGTTTTGTAGCATGGTGCAGTAAAAATAATAAAAGGTTCTCTTTCATGCTATTCGGGGTATTCCTTGCAATTTTAGTGGAAAGAAAAACACCCCTAACGAGTACGAAAGGCACAGAGCGTCAAAAAAACAACAATAACAAATGTTTGTCATCAGACAAAGATGACACTATTTAAAAAATGGTTACAGAATGAAATATTTTGTAGGTTCCAAGAGTTCCATTCTGATAGTGCTTAATTATATGGAGTTTTGCCCCTTACCTACCCCCTAAAGTTCCTTTGTCATCGGTATTGCGTGACAACCCAAATACTCAAAGGGTGTACATGTTTGTAGTCAACTCAGTTTAGCATTGAATTAGACTGTCAGATGTAATCTTTTAGTGAATTGTAAACTGAGCAATACTCACAGTCAACTGAACCGTTGAATAAGATGCCACAGTGAAGAAAGATATCGAACGTTTGACAACAAGATGGTGTTCGGCAGGGTTGGTGGTTTCATCGGACGATATCATTTATACAGACCTAAATACAACGAACGACAAGAGAATCACACTAAAATGGTCTCTGGATCGGTCTTCTGCGGCAAATGAGGTTAGAGCATTTGGAAATGTGTTTCTATGTACATTTTTCGGCCTCATATTGGTTGAAACATATTAAAATATGTGTGACTCGCGACTGCAACTAGGTCAAATAACTGCATTTTAACGGACTTTGAAACGCTTTTGTATCGCTCTCAATCATTTGCCCATACTAATTTTTACCGTTATATTGAGAACATTTTTTCGAAATTCAACCACCAAAAGCTTAATCCATTTGAAGGTTTAGCACATGGTGAAAATTAATTTTATTCACGAAGTATTTTTACTGAAGAGAAATGCATGCTTTCGAAATTAAATTATTTTAAGCGCAAAGAAGAGCGCAATGTTTACAAAAAATCATTTTGTGAGGTCTTATGAGATCGAAAAAGAAGATTTGAGTGTTTGAAAGACGAGATAGTGGTTCGTTTTTGCACGCGAAGCCCTCAAACTCGTGCAATAATTTGCTGCTAAAAGTGACGATTTTAACGGAATTTCGTTATTTGTATTTTTCTCTGAAATAAAAAGATATTTCGCCAAAAAAAGTATGCAGTGATTTTAGTTATAGTCTAGCCTATCTAACATTAAAATATGAAAGAAATCGAATTTTCCGCTCTTGCCGCGATATGTTTGATTTTTACAGACAAGCGCTCTTAAAAATATTCCACGAGTAAGCGAACATGTTTTCTCAAAGTCATTAATAATGCATGAGGTAATTAACTAATTGTGTGGCCTCATTTGGGTCACACGGATGCCCCTTGATACCCGGTAAAGAACAAATCCAGACACGCGTGATTAGATATCAAAACACACGTGTTAGGATAACCAAACACGTGTGTTTGGAAATCAATTCCCAAAATAATGCAGTACTTGAACAAATGTTTATTAACTTCCAGGATTATGATAATCATTCTTTGTAGTTAACATTTGCGTTTACATTGTAATTCAAGAACATTCCAGAATTTAACTGATTTAACATTCCACGTACACTGCTTTCACCTTCCAAAAGTTCACTGCTAGTACTCGTGGTTTCCGTTACGCTACTAGATGTGCAAGGTTCAAGTGGTTTCGACACTTTAACACTCAAAATTGCAAATGGGACGCCGATGCAAAGGGTGACTGCTCTCAATTATTTAAAAAGCCGAAGTTGTGAAAAAACACAACATCTTTCATGACACTGACTAACAACCATGCACAAGCGACAATGAAACAAAACAACACAAATACTGAATATTTACGTGGACGTTCTGTTTTTGTGTTTATTGTTAATAAAGTAGGCCCTTTTGAGGAGCCATTTCATAAACTCGAGCTTCATGTTTCATCAGGATTTTCAAACACTCGAAAACAACAAAAACACTCGGCCTTCGGCCTCGTGCTTTCATCAGCTTTCTCGTGTTTGGAAACCCTGATGAAACACTCGCCCTCTCTTATGAAATATTGCATCTTTACCGTGTGAAGATAGCACTTTTCGCGTGAAAGCTTATAATTACTTAATGTTCATTGGTGTTTTGTAGGATAGGTTTCGTTGACGGATTTCATTCTTTATTCGATGCAAATCTCGCTCTGTCTCTACTTTTAGCTTGGCAAGTGCAAACGTGAAAGCCGGAATTTTAAAAGAATGAAAACTAATTAAAGGCAACCATATTTTCACTCATGATCAAAGTATTACATTTTTATATCTCCAGTTTTACTATCATAATGACTTAAATAATCAGTTCACGCGATTTGGCAGTGCTCAAACCCCTGAAACTATAATGCTATTTAGAGATGATTTACCAAAGTCAGTGAAGGAAATTTCTGAGACAAACAAAGTGGGTGTCAAAGTTTCATCCAAGCAGTCAGGACATTACCACAAGCAGCAAAGGAGATCAAATTTCTCTTATCACCAGCACCACCAAAATCAGAAGCCTTTTTCATGGAAAACTCAGGGGGTGGGGAAGGGATCTTCTCTAGACCCCAAAAGGAAGGGGAAATCTGAATATCAATGATAATTGCTGCTAAGCCTCAAGACCACCTAAATTTGCAGGGGAGTCTTGATAATGATAATAATCACGCCAATGCATATAGCATATTATTTGTTGCTGGCAGATTAAAACATTAACACTGTAACCCACGCTACACCTCAAGTGACAATTTATTTAAATGCCCCTGGGCCGGGGAGGAGTTCTTTATTCCATATCAACTGGGCGTCAGTGGTCTGAAGATGAATCTAAGCATCACATCAATTATCTCGAAAGTTTAACATGTTTTCTTACCTTGAGAGCATTCTGCTCAGATATTCAGAATTCTCATCTGAAAGCCACGATTGACAATACCACTGCTATTTCCTATATTAATAGCATGGGTGGTCAAAGTGTCTTATGCAATGGAATTAACCGGGAATTATGGTTATGGTGTGTTAACACATTATACAATATACGGGTCACACTGCACTACACATTCCTGGGAAACAAAATATACTGGCTGATAAAGAGTCAAGGGTAAAGAAATCTGTCATTGAGTAGAAACTTAATCCCAAATTGTTTGAATTCATAACATTCCTTTGAGGAAAGCC